ACTACTATATACTACTATATACTATATACTATATATATATATATATATATATATATATATATAAAAATATAAAAAAACTGCTCATTTTGGGTCTTATTTTAAGTTTATTACACTTTATATGCGATCCTTTGTGCTAACTCTTTTATCAAGATTTATTTTACCTGTAGATTGAGTGGATGTTTCAAGATGAAATAGCATCAGCAGCTCTTGATACTTTTCCCATTATGCCTTCAACATTGGATTTTGTTGTAAATCATGTTGAGAATTCAAGGAGTTTCCTAACTTGTTTGAAGGATGAAGTACCTCTTCATTTTGTTTTTGGTCCAGATCTGAGTTTAGATAAGTTTATTCAGGTAAAAAACAAAAATTATGTATTATTATTATTTTTTTTAAATGTTGGTTTTTGAGACTGTAAAATGAAGAAATTATGATTCAACATATTTTGTTCTGTAAATAGGATGTACAATAAGAATACAAAATAATAAAAACAATCTACTATAAACTTACATACTTGAAGTTTGTGCTCCTTTATTTTATTGTTTTCCATGCATGTCCAGTGATTTTGGTAATATACCATTGTTTGATTATCCCTTGTGCTATTCTGGTATTTTTTTGGCAAATAACTGAATAACCGAAGTGAAGATCTGCGAAGGTGAAAGTTGATATAACATGAAGTAGGGTAAACCTATAGAAAAGATAATGCAAATTTAAAAATTTAAAAATGTGTTTGATACTCAAATCAAAGAGACTACTGGTCATCTTTACCAAGTTTGTCAAAGAGAGAGCATTATTCTCACTAGCAATAATGAAACTGAGTGTCTTTAACCATGATCTAAACATTTTATCATAATCAGAAGTCACTAACTTTACAAATGATAGTTTCATTAATCAAAGAAAGTGCTTTTTTAAGAGTGGAATTCCTTGAAATAAATAAATAAACAAGTTAATTTTAATTAATCAAGTAAAAATGTTAACTTCTTTATTTAAATAGATATTACGTTATGTTTTAAAGCATTCATTCTTACACCTAATCAGTACACTATTCAAATCTCATATGAATGCTACTAAAATGAACCTAAGGTATCAGTGTAACTTAATTTCAAATATGCTGACCCTAGATATAAATTAGAAATAGTTAGTTGGAGAAGAAAAGGAAAAGAAGAGTAATAGATTAAACTTGATATTCATGTTAAGTTAAAATATTCTTAGCAACATTACAAATTTCATGAACATGCAGGAGTTTTATGTTGGTAAAAATCAACAAAATTCTCTGACAACTAGGACTTAAGCAGATAAAGGAAACTACATAATACATGTTTAAAATTTCTATAATTACCAGGTTCTTTCACTGATTACCATTCACATTTGTACCTCCTGATTGGTCCAGCATGTTGTATTCTTCCACAGTTCTAACTGTGACTAACAATTCTTTGTCTTTGTTGGTGATAAAGGAAATATTATGTGGCAGTTTAATCACATTTGGTTTTATTGGTCCAATATGGGTGAAAAGTATATATTACTATTCTTCTTAAATTTTACCTGTTGCTTTTGCCAAGTTATGTTTAGATGGGCCTTATTTAGGTGTTGATGATGTAGCTAAGAACTTCAAATCTTTGTAATAAAAAACACACACAACACTAAATCATTAAATTATGATTCACTTTCACAACACTTGTACATTCAGAAAAGTTTTTTCAATCAGCTGCTATTGTGACAAAATGTCTAAATTTGTATATTTTAATAAATCTTAAAATCTAATTGAGTGAATTAAAATTTTCACAAATTGTTTTAACCCTTTTCACATGGGTCAAAAGCCATTGCATTTGTTGACTTGCATTCAAAGTTTTATTCAACTACTATTTTATGAATTTATGTCATTAAGTTTGGTATCAACCTGACTATATATTATTTATTTTCAAAAAACATACCTAAACATTGATTTCTGTGTGTCACGTGGTATGTTGAATGCAGCATTGATTCAAATTAGATAGTTTTGTATGAATTAGGACCTCAAATTACCAATATTGACAAGCCAAAATATAAAATAAGAACCTCCTGTCTTTTCTATTTGCTGAGATATCGCTTATGTATTGAATGAAATGCAGTGGCCCTGCTCACCTCTTTCCATTTTTGGAAACGGTCCCTTATATATACATAGTTTTATATATGACATGTGAATAACCAGTTGAAAGCTCAGAATGTCTCCCTAGTGGCTTTCTCAGCCATTTTAAAGTTTTATGATGCCATCTTGTTCTTTCAAACCTAGATTGCAAGGAGGTAGATTGTGGCTTTAGTCTGCTTGAAATTTCATATTTACTTAGTTACTAAGCTTGATAAATTATAGTGGAATTCTATGGTATCAGTATAGTAACTTATGATTTTGTGGTTATTGAAATGTATATATATAAAACCTTAAAAAAACTGTGTTTCATGTCCTTGTGCGAAGTTTCCTAAGGCTTAGCAAGCTATGACAAGCAGCAACCGAGTACAAAGGTTAGAAGTAGAAAAGATAATTGTTCGCATTACTTTATTTACTGTTGTATGTTTAAGAAAAAAGAACTTAATTCTAAATAGTAATAATCTATATACATATATATTACATAATAATTGAAATGTGACTGTATTTCACAAAATACTAGTTCACTAAAACACAACCAAGACAGGTTACTTTGTAAATACTAAAGGTAAGTTTTATGTTATCGGATACAGTAACATGAGTGCATGTGCACCTCATTGTAACTTCTGTATTGTTAGCAGATATGGCTGACAAGTCAATATAATAAAAATAATAAATATATATAAATGTATAATGTTATGAGATTTAAGCTATTTAGTCTAAACATTTATGTTTTCATGTTATAAGTTGTAGTCATTCTAGAACAAAAAAGACATAACTTATATTCATTTCTTAATTTTTTTATGGTGTTTATGGTGGTTAAGAGATCACTCAATCAACCAAACCCATAACGATATTTGTTAGTGAAAATAACAGATAAAATATAAAGTTTTTCTTAAAAAAACGTTTTATAACTATCTGTACATTATAAGGATTTCGCATATGAAATGTATAAAACTATTTTAATCTTAAAATGAAAATTACTTTGCATGTTGGATAGACAACATGCAAAAAGAAAAATATTGCTTTTGAAAAAATCAAAATTAAATATCCTGTTTTTCTAAAACTACATACTTTTAGGACCATTCATGTCAAATTTAAAATAATTTCATCCATCCACTAGTTTCATTTTTGTAAAGAACTTTAATGAGAGTTGCATACCTACTTACAATGTAAGTAAGTTGTAGTCAAAGCATTAAGAAAAAAATCATGTCCAGAAAGATATGACAAAACTGCATATTGACTGTAACCTGTGTTATACTTTCAGTAGTATTTTGGATTACTTGAAACATGAATTTTTATCATGAAAATTATGTTGTATTGTTTAGTTCAACCAAAAGAGATTTGTACTGTACTTTAAACATTATGCTTGGAACTATTATATTCAGATTCAACTCATATTAGGAGAACTTGTTTATAATCTTCATGACAAACTAGAGCTGTACAACCAGACCTATGAATCATTGTAAATGCGACTATTCATAGACATACTTCAGAAAATGTATGACCTTCAGTGGCTCGGTGGTAAGTCTGAGGACTTATATTGCTACAATTCAGATTTTGATACCCATGGCGGGTGCAGCACTGATAGCTCATTGTGTAGCTTTGCACTTAAAAACAAACAATTATGCAGTAGATAAAACAAATATGTTTAAATTTTTTAACATTTTTTCTATATTTTATGGCTACCATTATGTCAAAAGAAACTTTGTTTTTTTAGAAGTTCCTTGTGTATGCTGCAGATGGTTTTAGATGTATGTTTAGACTGTAATCTGATGGCTTACAGAGTATTTATTAGTATATTTTTAATTTTTGAAGTATAAAAAATAAGTCCTGTTTTATATGTGTTAATGTAATATTAACTTAAATAAGGAATATTCATGCCAAATCTTTCTTTGCTTAACATTAATTTTATACAAGGTTATTTTGTTAAACTGAAATTCACTTCAGTTTCCAAGATGATGACATGTAAATTATATCAAACAAGGATTTACGAAGTTGGTACATAGCTCAGCAACTTACACAGTTTAAATTATCATTAACGTTTAAAAGATATTCACATAACAAACTGTAGGCTTTACAGAATGTCAAAGTTAGGGGCAGATGTAATTCTGTGATGAAAGAATAGTGTGAAAAAACCCCATGCCTATCACTTTATCATGAAGTGTATCAATAATACTTTAAGGCATTTCCATATTTTTAAATAGTTAATGTTTGGAAACTATTTTGCATATTAAATATTCTACTAATTTATTTTTTTATTTGAATTTGTAACATTATTTATTAACCTTTAACATGAAACATTTCATTAAGTCATTCTAAGGAGTGTTTTCTGGGAAAATCTCATTGTTGAGCATGTTTCCATCTTGAGTATAAAAATACAATTGGAAATTATTATAATTTCCATTATAATATTATAATTATATAGATTATTTATTTAAGATTATTACATAAGAAGGAAGAATAGTTTCATTATGCGTACGTGTATGAAGAGATGTAAATGTTTATTGAATATTGCATTAACCCTTTTGCAACTAACAGGTCAAAGTGTGCATGTCACAAGCTTTTACGGAGTTACATTGAAAAGTTAATTAAATCACTTTATTATCAATGAATAAACATGGTCTCAAACACAGTTAATAAATCAAATTTTAATGTTATATAAGTTTTAAGTTCTTAATTCTATAAGGAAATATTAAAAAAATCCTCTCCCTTTCCCTTAGTATGAGAATTATGACATTTGCTCTTTAGATATTCCCTTGTTTCTACTTTTTATTTTCATGCCCATCTGAGAAGTACAGAATTTAACATAAATTATGCATGAAAATATAGATAATACTCAGGCAAAGCATAATATTTCTATCCTTCAATCTGATTTGTTTAGGGAGCAATAAACTAGAAAATCAGACCCACATTCCACACTCTCTATTTCACAAATTTCCAATGGCTCTTTCTGATGTTGTATATGATATTACTTATGACTAATAGAAAGTCAGAGATATACTCATGAGCAGCTCCTGCATTACATAATTTGATATGGTAATGTGAGCTGCACATTTGCTGAGTGACTTGCATCTCATGTGGCAGGATTATTAGTTAAACACAGTTCAAAGGACAATAAAATTAAGTATAAGTAGATGTATACTGTTACAAGCTTTAAGCTCTGTAAAATAAATAATTATGGTTTTCTTTTACAGTTTGTAATCATTCTAGAAAGAAAAAAAGTTAATATTTATT